TCGTTCTCTCTACACAGCCATGCTTTGCTCTCTCTTAGAGCCTTGTTACAACTGTCTTCTCTAGTCGGCCTGAAATGCTTGTCTGTCTCCTTCCAGGATTTGTCCACCTCGTGGACACCTTCATTGGCAGCTGTTGGATGCCTGCTTTCTAGCTGGAGAATGTTGTCAAGGTTTCCATCATGCTAGTTCTATTACACAAGTTCAGACTGAAAAGAAACCGACCATGCGTGATATTCACTTACTCACATCCTGTACCAGCATTTCTCAGAGTCTGCTCTGAAGACCTCCTGTATGAAGGTCCTTGGACACGACCCCCACCCCTCAACCCAGGTGTATCCTAATCCCTGGGGGTAGAGCTCCCCAGATAATCACCGCACCTGCAAACTCTTAAAAACAGCTACTCTCTATGTACCTAGTGCAATAAAATAGACTCAGTTTTCTCTATTGCTAAGGTGATGATGGTACTTCTTAAGTGGGGAGGTAGTTCTTAAATGAATAGAACTGATGACAACAAGGGATTTGGAGTAGGACAGAGCTGGTTTTAAATCTTGGCCCCATCACTTACTCCTTTTCCTGAGCCTCAATCTGCTCATCTGTGAAATGGATGCTAACAGTATTTACCGCCCAGGACTGTTTGGGGAATTAAATAAGGTGATTTGATCCTGGCGTGTGATAAATGCTCGATAAATGTTAGCTAGTATCATTACTGGCTAAACCTGGTTTTTTTGTTTGTTTTTTTAACCTTTAAACTGGGGAAATGATAGCATCTACCATCTAGGGTAGGGGTGCAGGGGTTGGCAAACTTTTTCTGTAAAGGGCCAGATAGTAAATATTTGATGTTTTGTGGGCCAGTCTCTATTACAGCTACTCATTCTGCTGTCATAGTTCAAAAGCACCCATAAATAATACATAAATGAACGAGCGTGGCCAATGTTCCGATAAAACTTTATCTACAAAATCAGGGAGGGGGCTGGCTTTGGCCCATGGCTGTAGCTGGCTAACTCCTCAGCTGTGGTGTTGTGAAGATTAAATGAGATAAGGCTTGTAATGAGCCTAGCACAGTGCCTGGCACAGAGCAGTGACTAAGAGAAAGAATTCTAACGTGTTCCATATCTGATTTGAGGGCTAGGCTTTGCTCCTTTCTCCAGGGGAAGGAAAGCATCCATGAGCAAGACTTTTCAACAGAGGTATCAGCTCCATCCTCTGCCCCAAGTCAAAGCTAAACATTCATCTCAGCACCTGGAGCCTGGCAGTGCCACCGCCTCCATCCTCCCCCAAGGATGGAGGTAAAATGCCAATCCATGGGGTGTGATTAATTCTCTCTGTCCCACGCTTTGCCCCAGGGTATGTTGCCATTTTCAGCATGTGTCCCACGGAAATCAGGTTGCCCATGTAAACCATGATGTGTGAGAAATGAGGATACTCATATCTGCGGGGCGGTTAACTGCACGCATTCACATCCATAAATGCATTTAACCCTCACCTGAGGCTGTATTATGTGGTTAAGGCAGGCAGTTAAGGGGAGAGAGAGAGAGAGGGAGAGAGGGAGAGGGAGAGGGAGAGAGAGGCTAGATTTGAATTCTGCCTCTGCAACATTCTGGTTTTGTGATGTTGGCCAAGTCACTTTGCTTCTCTAAGCCTCAGCTACATCTTCTATAACATAGGGATTAAATGAGATGTTACATATAAAGCCTACAGCACAGTGTAGCACATGATAGCTGTTGAATCCCATTTTGCAAAGGAAGAATGTGATGCTAAGAGGTAAAAGGGCTCATTCAAGGTCATGCAGCTGGTGATTGGCCTCAGACCAAGAATCTCTAACTCTGACCCCCAGCTGGTTTTCACCATGTCCCATTGCCCCCGCCCACCGCATCCCACTCATCCCCACCACCCCCAGCTGCTTCCAGGGACTCTTGCTGCTTCCAGCCACGGCTGTGCTCCATGCACAGTGACTAAATCTCTTGGAGACAGTGACATGGCTGTCAGGGAGCTTGTACGCTTGTGACCATTCATCACTGTAGTGGATTAAATAGTGTCCTCCCAAAAGTCATATCCACCCAGAACCTCAGAATGTGACCTTATTTGGAAATAAGGTCTTTGCAGGGAGAATTAAGATAAAGATTGAAATGAGATCATACTGAATTAGGGTGGGCCCTAAGTGCAATGAGACAGTAAAGGACAGAGGAGGATACACAGAGCCACTGGGAAGAAGGCTATGTGAAAACAGAGGCAGAGGTTGGAGTAATGCTGCCACAAGCCAAGGATTGCCAGGAGCCACCAGGATCTGGAAGAGGCAAGGAGGGAGCCTCCCCTAGAGCCTTTGGAGAAAACACAGACCTGCTTCTGGCCTCCAGAACTGTGAAAGAATGAATTCCTGCTGTCCTAAGCCACCCAGTTTGTGGTGATTTGTTGCGGCGGCCACAGAAAAGTAAGACACCACCTTCGACCCTAAGATGTGAATGGATAGGGGGGTATCAGACTCAGAATGCCTGTGTGAGGAAGGGGCAGCAATGACGGGGCAAAGAGCATGTGTTTTAGAGGCAGACCTGGGCTCAGCCCCTTCCCTTGCCAGCTTTGAGCTATTTTCCTTATTTACTAAGAAAGAGAACATCCTCGTCCTTCTGGCTTGTGGTGAGGATTAAAAGAGATGGCATGGCACAGTGAGGTAATAACAAAGGTAATCGTAACCGTTCATCAAGCGTGACATGCCTTGGTTAATTCAATCCTCACAACAGCCCAGGGTGGAAGGAGTTAGCAGATGCAGGTGATGTGATGTAGACCTCGGAGTAAGGCAAGAACGTTCCTTCCCTACATCTCCTTCTCTACCCATGAAGAGCAGTAGACTACTGCATCCTTCCAAACCCAGCCATTCACTCTGGAAATGTGACCTAAAGGCACCTCTTAGAGGCACGCGGAGATTGATCTCTGAGAATGCTCATCACAGGGCTGCTTCTTCTAGTGGGGGAAACAGCAAACAACCTAAGTGTCTGGGATTTGGTGAAGTGATTCATGATACAGCCACAAATAGACACCACACAGCCTTTCACACTGCTGCTGGGGAAGAACATCCAAGGACGTGTGGAAACGCTCATGAAATGTCATTAAGTGAAAAGAGCAGGTAATAAAATGGTGAGATCCTAACTTTGTATTACAAAGACCAGACCTCCATGATGGTATATGTGTGTGTATAACATACGTATAAATATATAGCATCTTTTTTATTTTTTTAAATTTAACTTGGTCCTTTTTTTTTAACTTATTTATTTACTTATTTATTTTTTTATTTATTTATGGCTGAGTTGGGTCTTTGTTGCTGTGCGTAGGCTTTCTCTAGTTGCGGCGAGTGGGGGCTACTCTTCGTTGCGGTGCGCGAGCTTCTCACTGTGGTGGCTTCTCTTGTTGCGGAGCACAGGCTCTAGGTGCGCAGGCTTCCGTAGTTGTGGCACGCGGGCTCAGTAGTTGTGGCTCTCGGGCTCTAGAGCGCAGGCTCAGTAGTTGTGGTGCACGGGCTTAGTTGCTCCTCAGCATGTGGGATCTTCCCAGACCAGGGCTCGAACCCATGTCCCCTGCATTGGCAGGCTGATTCTTAACCACTGCGCCCCCAGGGAAGCCCGATATATAACATCTAACTACTAACATCTTTGTGTATGTTTTTCCACTCTTTAAAAAAGTATAGATGTGTTTATATATAACATTATATATATAAAACACATGTATAAAACCATATATATTACCCTATATATGCACACTACCTATATAATATATATAATCACATAAATTACCATATGTGTGCACTAGAAGAATGTACACCAAGATGTTAGCAGCAATATATGAGGAATTAGGTATATACATATATACGCATGCATACGTACTATTATGGTTTGAGTGTTTATGTCCCCCACGAATTCATATGTTGGGGCCATAATCCCCAGTGTGGCTGATTTGGAGATGGGAAAATAACTGAGATTAAATGAGGTCATTAAGTGTGGGGCCCTGATCCCATAGGATGTGTCCTTATAAGAAGGCACACCAGAGAGCTCTCTCTCTGCATGAACACAAAGAGTCCATGTGAGTACAGTGAGAAGGTGACTGTCTACCAGCCATGAATAGAGCTCTCACCAGAAGCTGACCCTGCCAGACCTTGATCTGGGACTTCCAGCCTCCAGAACTGGGAGAAAATAAATGTCTGTAGTTTAAGCTGTTCAGCTTCTGTTGTTTTGTTATGATAGCCCTAGTGAACTAACATGCATGTATATATACATACATACATACAGATATATTTATATATAGGCATATATATACTGTCTTTCTATATATATGGTAATATATATGGCTCTATGTATGTGGTATATATATATGGTTATATATATAGTTTTTTAATATATGGTTTTACTTATATGACAATATATATAACTCTAATTATAAATATAAGATCAGAAGAATGTCCATCAAAATGTGGTTAATTGTTCCCTCTGGGCAGTGGGGTTATAGGTGACTTTTTACTTTGTTCTCTTTTGCTTATCTGTATTATCTGAATTTTCTACAATAAACCCGTATTATTTCATATTACTATTACATTACTTAGTATTCCTATAATTATTAATGGTATTGCTAAAATAATTATTACAAACTTTTTTGTGCCTAAAGTTGGCGTCGGTCTTTGGCGACTGGGAGAGGGTGAAAAGGCCATGGTCAAAGGGACCAGAGGCTCAGAAGCCGGGACCAGGCAGGGCAGTCAAGGCCATATGTATAACCTTGAACAAGTTTTGGTGACCCCGCCTGAGCCTCCTCTTGCCTTGTAACAGGGTTCCCATGGAAACGTGCTTTCCAGTTTCCAAAGGGCTGGCTCACAAATACACACTTGCAGTACTGGCAGAGATCTGTGTGCCTTCTTGGGGTATGAAGGTTGCTGGGGCAAAGAGGAGGCTGTCCAGAGGGAATTCTTGAAAACCCATGCAGCCTTGGGGTCCTGATGCCTGCGTTTTGTGTCTCCTGCACAGGTCAGCTAGACATCATCTCCATGGCAGAGACAACCATGAGGCCAGAGGAGATCGAGCTGGAGATGGTGAAAATCCAGCGTCTCCGGGAAGTCTTGGTCCGGCGGGAGTCTGAGCTTAGGTTTATGTGAGTGCCTGGGGGAAGGGGCGGAGGAAAGGAAGGGGTCTGGAGGGGGAGGACACCGGAGAACCTGACATTCACTGTTTATTGCTGTGTGCCAGGCACCGGGATGAAGGTATTACATACATTCTCACAACCACCTAGAGACGTGGGTATCTATTCCTCTATTTCTTAGTATATAACCATTAGTCAATATATGGCCCTATACAAGATGATTAAATTAGTGCCTGAGTCTTGCTTTCCTGTCTTTTTTCTATTTTTATGCTTCCAATTTTTATTTTTTGTATTCTCAAAGAGCACAGAACTTATATTTTGTTCCAAAACTATAATTAAGCTTCTTACACATTGTTTCTAACATTAAAAACATATCACTAGTGTTTACAATACACTCCCCGTGTTTTAAAAGGAAGGGAGACAGAGAATGTGAGTTCTTTAAAGTACTGAAGAGCTCCCTTCAGCCTGTGGGAGCTCAGGAGGGCCAAGGTTGCTTTTGTGACGATGGCTGTCACTCACTCACTGCACATTTACTGACCTTTGCATGGTGTGTGTGTATGTACATATTATCCCTGCACCTGGCACATGCACAGCAAGTGCTCAGTGACAAGATTAGCTAACACGTAAGCTCTAGCCCTGGGCCAGGCACTGCACTAAGCTCTTGACTTGTGACGTCACTAAATTTTCCCATGTTGCCCGTGAGTCCGACTGCTTAGAGACAAATGTCAACAGTAGACACTTGAATAAATCAAATTATCTAAAACATACAGAAGGATGTCAGTGCAGTCAGGACATATTTTGGGGGCTCAGTGACATACTTCATGGGAGGGGCTGGCTTCTTGGCCCCTGGAAGTCTTGCTAGCAGCCTGCAGACAGAGGTGGATGATAATGAGGGCTCCCCCCAGGCCCCGCCTTTAGAGTATGTAGCCTTGCCTGGAGGTACACCACCTTGTCAATCTCAGAAGATGCATGATGGACTCCAGGATGGCCAGGGTAGAGATCATGGCCCACTCAGACCTGGATAAACACCTCATCAGATGACGATCTGTAGCCTCCCGGGCTAACAGGCTGTGTGTGGACCATTGTTGAATTCAGTTTCCTGGCTCTTTCTCAGAGCCAGGCCCTCACCTCCCTGTAGGGCTGATGGTGCTGGTGGGTCCTATTCTTGCCTCCATTTTAGAGAAGAGGGAATTGGAGGTTAAGAAATTTACCCAAGGTTGCATTAGCTAATAAGTAGCCAAGGTAGGATGCAGTCTGACTCCAGAGTTTTTATTAAGTGAGTGAATAAGTGAAGGAAGGATGGAAAGAGGGAGGGAGGGAAGGAATGAAGGAAGGAGGGAAGCTCTGAATATATCTGCCAAGATAATGCCTTAAAGAGTATAAGCTCCTGAGGGCAGGGATCCTACGTCTCATCTTCACTGTTGGATTTTCCCAGCATCTTGAACACTGCCCGGCACTTATTAGGCCAATTAGTATTTGTTGAATGTGCAAAAATTGTTCTTTCACACTCCATCCTGAGCCCAATAGTTTCCCTTCACACACACACACACACACACACACACACACACACACACACACACACGAGACCCGTTGGAATAGGGTAAGAGGGAAATAGAATTTCAGACCGTACTAAGCATTTACAGGCTCAGGTGGGGAAGCTCGGAGTGACGGGAATGTGACAGCCCTTGACTGAAATAGTCCCAGTGACTGTAGCTGTAATAACCAGGGTGAGATTGGTTTTGTCACGCCTGCTGGGAAGTAATCAAGTTAATACCCTCAGCTCCCGTGCAGACTGTATGAGTCAGATCATATTGCATGGCTGAGGGTGTCTTCTCACTTTACCGTCTCCTGCGATGTTGATTCTTTCGAGAATGGGTTTAAAGGCTGCTGTCCCAACACCCCCGACGTTCAGCATTATTCTTTCATGGGTTTCCATTTTCCTGGCCCCTCTCTCTTGCCCTCCCCCTGGGACTCACAGCTTCTGCTTGTTCTGCCTTCCTCTCAGCGTGAACTCATAAGAGTGGGTTCAGGGTCATCCTGGCTCTCTTGCATCCTTGTCTGTGACCCTGGGCACATGACAGGCTTCAAAAGAACTGCTATTTACCACAGGCACTGTTACACTGCACACGTGCTATGTGTGTTATATGCATTTGCTCACTTATTTTAGCTTTTTGAATCCTCATAAGACCCCTGAAGGAGTGGTTCTATTCCTTCTATTTTATGGATAAGGAAACTGAAGTTAGAGAAGTGAAATAACATTTTCAAGGTCAACAGATAGTATGGGTGGAATTGGGACTTTAACCTGAGGTGTCTGCCTCAGAGGCAGAGCCCTGAACCCTAAGTTAGCCTGTTATTTATTCCCAGCAGAAGGATGCCTTTTCTCTTTGCCTTTTGCTCTTCTAGAATGCGAAGACAAACTCCCGGTTGGATGCCCACAATCCCACAATCCCACATTGGGTTTGGTCTTGTTCCACGCCATCTTGAATTGAGTCGGGTGGAAACAGAAGTCATTCTATTGAGTCAGGCTTTGGACTTTTTCATACCCTTTCTCTGGAGAGAAGTGATTTATTTGAAGCCTAAAATGATGAGCTCCAACTTAGTCAAGGTTTTCAAGTTCACCTGCTGGGAATTTGACATAGAGCCTTATTCCTCTAAGGGTTCTCAGGGACCTCAAGAGTCAACATTTATAGAACCCTTAGCACAGATCTAGGCCTTGGCTAAGCCCTGTGCACACATTATCATGTAATCTACGAAAAATGCTTGCTAATGGAAGGATGAAGCAGGAGCGCCTCCAGCATACCTGCTATCCCTAAGGCTTACAAGGTCAGGTTCAGAGAAGGGCTATGAGTGACCCCGGTGGGCACGTGTCTCCACCACACACCCAATGCATCTGCTCTCAATGTCCTCCCTTCGCTTGTCCCCTAGTTTCCAAGTCGCTAACTGGTGTTTAGAGATCTCCCTCTTGAATCTGGCAGTTTTACAAGCTTCATTTGGATGAGTCAATAAACCCCTTAGTATCACGAAAACGCCGCTTTAATTGGCGGCAAGTGTCCAGGAGGTAAAACTTGAAGCCTCCTTTGTTCCATCCTCGATCCTCCATGCCACCCACCTCCCAGTCCCTCCCGCTTCTGCCCCATCTCCATGCCTCTCGCCATCCTGGCCTGTGGAGGCTGTCAACAACCTCAGACTCATTTTCTCACCCTTAATTCCAGCACTGACTCACACCATTAGCTTTTCATAACCCCTCCTGCAGCTCCGCTGGCCTGCCTCAGCCCTTCCACACCTTCTCTATAAGGCTGGTCCTGCTGTTTATCTGGGTTTCAGATAATTAAGTATTTTCGGAGGTGGGGGGCGGTTATCTTCATTTTACACCCGCTTGCAGGATTGTCATAAAGGGACAGTGGGCTCTGTCGCTCAGCTTGCTCTGGGCGGCAGCAGCTTCTAATTAATGAGTCAGAGCTGCAGCTGGCAGGGGAGATGGGCTTGTGAAGGACAGATTTCAGGAGCACAGTCCTTGAGTTCCAATATTTCCAGACTCTGGGCTTGGACCCAAGTAACATCATTTTATTAAGAAGGACCAAGTGCGGTGAAGCGGTCGTGCCGTAGAACATGGCAGAGGTTCAGGGTGTGGTGGTAGAGAGTACATGACTTGTAAACTTTTCAAATACTTGCTATGCTGGGCAGTGTTCTAAGTGTTTTACATGCATTGATCATTTAATCTTTACTGCAACTAGACATACAACATCCTCCCTCCCCATTTTATAGATGAGGAAACCAATGCACAGAGAGGTCAAGTGACTTGCCCCGGGTTGCCCAGGGTCTGTGAAACAGCAGATGATGATATAACCCTGGCATTCTGAGTCCAGAGTCCGTGATCTCAGCCATGATGCTATAGGGTCTCTCAACTGGTTTTGAACCCCAGTTCTACTTCTTATCGACTCTGGGCCCTGGAGCAAATCTTTTGCCCTGTTGGGAATTCCCTGGTGGTCCAGTGGTTAGGACTCCAGGGTCTCACTGCTGAGGGCCCCAGTTCAATCCCTGGTCAGGGAACTAAAATTCCATAGGTCGTGCCGCGTGGCCAAAAAAAAAAAAGTTTCTTTAAGGGACTTCCCTGGCAGTCCAGTGGTTAAAACTCCACGCTCCCAATGCAGGGGCCCTGGGCTCGATCCCTGGTCAGGGAACTAGATCCCACATGCTGCAGCTGAGATCCAGTGCAGCCAAATAAATATTTTTTAAAAAAAATCTTTTGCCCTGTTCCAGCCTCAGTTTTCCCCTCTTTACAATGGGACATTGATATTTCCCTGGCAGCGCTGTCGCAAGGGATGGAAAGAGAGGACACGTGAAAGTGGGTGGCTCTTCCTAGGTAATAAGCACATCAAAATTCCCTTCCCTCCTTTAACTGTTAATAACGTGCTTTGAGGGAGAAGAGAGGAACAGGGCTGCTTCGTTATCTCCAGAGAAGACCGAGAAAACACCCCTCTCCCCGAGAAGCTGGGGAGTGGCTCTCACCCATCAAGTCCAACTCTATTCTGGGGCCCTGACTTTATTATGGTTGTTGTTATTTAAAAAAAATTTTATACACCTGCATTCTTTATCCCTTTAATGAGCTAATAATTCTGAAGCCTGTTAGGAAAAGCTTCAAGCCAAGGGCGAAATGAAGCATGTGCATTTATGTAACTTGACACTTCTCAGCCACGTTTGGCAGTTTCAAGACACTTTGGATGCACTCTGGGTTTTAAATACCATCTCCTAAGAACAGGTCAGCGTTGTCAGAGCCACTGTACATATCAGGTGGGAAGAAATGTCTTTAATTGCAAAAGATCTAAAAAGCAATTTGTCTTGGACAAAATATACGAGAATTTGAGGAGTTGGGGAAGAAAGGGAGGAAGGAGACCTCGAGGGAAGAGGAAAGAGATGGGGAGGCTAGAGAGGATGGGGAATGTCCCAGGTGAGACCTCTGAATGGAAGGACCCCCCTGAATTTCTAAGTGTTTGGGAAAATAGGGATGAGGT